TGACCAAGGTCTGGAACGGGCTCCCAAGGGAGGTGGTGCTCTCCCCTACCCTTTGGGTCTTCAAGAGGAGGTTTGATAAGCATCTAGTTGGGGTCATCTGAACCCAGAACTCTTTCCTGCCTATGCAGGGGGACAGACTCGATGATCTGTTGAGGTCCCTTCCGACCCTAGCATCTATGAATCTATGAATCTATGAACCAGCCCCACAGAAAGGATGACAGCATACACGGTTAGATAAGAGGTTGAGGTAATGAATCCAAAGATGCCAGCCCTACTGCTCAAGTATGTGGATGTCGATGCATGAAAGACGGGTGCCTCCCAAGACTGGGGGGGCACCATTTGTAGGTGGCAGCATCGGTGGCAAGCGGTGACTGCCCACAGACGCTGGCATGAGCAGCGAAGGGCGGGTGGATGGCAAGCGGCAACTACCTCCCAAGGCCAGCAATGGCAGCAGCCCATCTCGGGGGGGGGGGGGGGGGGGGAGGAGCACATGCCCCCCTGCACACCTCCTACAAATTGCCTATAACATCATGGAAGTTTTTGGGTTTCAGTTGGCTTTTTTAAAAGCCTAGAAAGTAACACACAAAACATGACATTACAAATACATTAATAGTGCAAAGTTGAGCATTCCAGAAATAGGAAATGCCAAATTTAAAAGATGGCCATGCAGACTTCATTTAGCCTACTTTGCTGTTTTAATCGCAAGCTATTTTCTTGAAAAGACCCCTGTTCCATTCTGTGCACAAGCCTGACAGTGCTCCAGGGATAAATCAAAGCTGTGTGCTGAAGGCAGCCATTGTTAGTCAGATACCAGCTTCATCTGCTATATAAATAAGGAGGTGTACAGTTAATGAAGAAGGGGATTGCAGGAAGAAAAAAGACAATCTCACGGCTAAGGCAGCTGAATGCAGCCCTGAAGGAAAAATTAGTCTGTGATCTTGTAATTAAACACTGAATCCGCCACACATCCCAGGGGATAGCTGCACAGGAAGCTTTAATATGACATTTTCCAACTTTGGAGTGCTTGAGTTTCACAACTTTAACTGTCTCTTACAGAAGCAAACTAAATACTATTCAGTTTGGATTTATTTTTTTGGTTTTGCAAGCAAGACGTTGAAAAGAACTGGAAGAGATGTTTTAACGGTCATTTAGACATAGAACTGGAATTGTTCCATCGGCAAAGGTTTCCTTTAAATTTATACCAGATAAACCAACACAGCTATATGTAATAATATATTAAAGACTACACATAACACCGTATATCGGAGACTCAACTTCACAGTACTACACACAAATCCAGTCAAATTATTTCATAATGAATCACTGTGGTATATAGTTACTTGTACAATTTACTTTCTTTTAATCATGATGTATTTAATATACAAGGAGATTGTTGATGTTGTTTCTACTCCAGCTTCTTGTTAGTGTCCGCATTAAATATTTTGGTCACCTTTAGTGCAGCTAAAAGCAGCATTGGTCATGCTTCCCAATATTTATTAATTAAACATAGGTACTGAGGGCTTAGGATATCATGAGGATTCATCAAGAAACCTCTCTTAAAGGTGAGAAAAATGGCCAAAGAATGCAGCTGTTACTTCAGAATGCTGTCATCCCAGCCACCTCTTATGAAGATCATTGTCTAACTTCTGCGCTCAGTGATATCCTTCTACTATGTCCCATATCAGCTGAATAATTAATTATTTTTACATTAGATGTTCACGCACCACTTAAAGAATCGTCCTCATGACAATAGGAGCCTGAACTTTCAGTCTCTAAGCAAGGAAAACTTTTACTGATGTCAACACCAGTTTTGCCCGCATAAGTATTTCTGAATTCTCAAGTAAATTCTGCTGTACCCTACTGAAATCTTTTAGCATAAAACAATTCTCATCCAAAGTAAAGAGCATCTAAATAAATTCACTGATCGTGGTCTGATCTCGACACAATGCAAGTTCTACACAGCAATATTTTATTGGACCAGTTGTATAGTAGGGAGAGGTGTTCGATAAGGTCTTAGGTATAAAATGCCCTTCCTCAGGTATGGGAAAGAAGCAGATACAGCCTAAGCAAGGGGTTTTTAACCTTTTTTATCTAAGTATCCGTGGCAACCAGATGCCGGGCACGGGGGTGGGGCTGGAGGGAGAAACAGAATGCCCTTGCCCTGGCCCTGCTCCTGGGAGGCAGTGGCTCCC